TGTTTTGCAGGTGGATTTCGTCATTATTCTTCGAGGCAAACTCGAGATTAAGATCTCGAGATTTAAACATCGAGATTGAAATCTCGAGATTTAAAACTCGAGATTGTAATCTCGAGATTTAAAACTCGAGATTGTAATCTCGAGATTGTAATCTCGAGATTTAAACCTCGAGATTGTAATCTCGAGATTTAAACCTCGAGATTGTAATCTCGAGTTTTAAAACTCGAGATTGTAATCTCGAGATTTCAACCTCGAGATTGTAATCTCGAGATTTAAACCTCGAGATTAGGATTTCGAGGTATTGCCTTAGAATTTTACTTAATCCCACCTGTTCTCGATATTCAACATCGAGAACTTCAACTTCGAAGAAATTCCTCAAAAACTCAAAATTAGAGATTTTCTGCGGCACCGCACTGTTTTGGCCATAACTTTTGACTCGGTTATCCGAGTTTAGCAAACTTTTTTTTTGGAAAGCTAACGTTAAGGTGGAAACCCTTTCTCACGCGCCCTCACTCGCAGTCCTTGAGGATCAAAACGTTAGTTTTCGACAAACTTTGTAAATCACTGATGTCCAGGTCAAAACTTAGGCAAATCTGATCAAATTCTTTCAAAGTCAAACCTAAGGTCTAAGCTCCAATGTAGAGGTCCGAAAATCGTAGATAATTCAATCAACCTCGCGTCAACGGTCATATTACAACAATCAACAATCAACTGCTGAAGCCTCCCCTAACTCATCAACATTGTGTGATCCTCAAACATGCTGAAATTCCAAATGATGAGCTTAGGGAAACCGTCATGTGTGGTACCTGTTCAGATTGCTCCACACACATGGCGGGTATGACGAGCTGTGAGCAATCAAACCTTGCACATTCTGAGGGGGAGTTTCAGTTTTCTCCTCCTGGCGCCATACACCGACAAAGCAATGAATCTCTCAACGGATGCAACATTCTAGGGGGAGTACAGAGAGAAAATCAATGAGAGAACATGTTCCTATGGCTTAGTAAACCCAACTAAACCTACCCAAGGGACAAAGCCGAGAGTAAGTGAGTGAGTAAGTGAGTGAGTAATCATTATGAGAGTTAGGAAGCAGAAGACTCAAGTGAGAAGAAAAACAATTATCAATGATGAGTCTGCTACCTCATCTGCGTGCTATGTATTGAACATTTACTCCTAGCCACTCAAATACTCTGGACAATTCCCAATTAGGTTCAGGACTGATTTAATCAGATCCCGGGTAGAAGTCACTGCATCTTGTCCAACAGTGCATGCTTAACCCTACCCAAGACCACTCACTTGTCTCCCAACAGACAAGTGCTTAATCATATTTCACGGGGAACCGCATCTCTCATTACTCTCCTTCCGAGGCAAGTGATACTGACTACAGTGGCTTCAGCCCCATGCCACTGAATTTTCATTGATCACATTGTGTCTAGTTACCTCACTCCCAAATGTTTTGAAATTTTCTAGGACACAGATGCACCTTTTGAGTCAGTTGCAGGTCTACATGACCCGCAAGAACTTCTATAGGGCTCATCTATTACAGATGTAGACCAATGATTGGAAGGAAGTCCTGCTGATGCAACATAAGAATCACCAACATTTTCAGGCCATCACTTCAGAGTTTATCTCTATAGTGATGATAATGGGTGTCTTCGCGGCCCCCGGAGGGGGGGGGGGGGGGCTACGTTATCTTCTTTACATTCTGCTTGTTTTTCATGTTTAATTTCCGCAGAATAAAAGAATAAAGGCATGACGCCCCAATTCATCGGATCGTCATGAGGGGGAGAGTGGTCCAAATGTTGTTAACTGTAAAAAAAATCATTCTGGGACACTTCTCTCTTCCAACACTCTCTCTACTATCTCCGCAACTCAAATGGTCAACTACACTCACAAGTCAACCATCATTATATTCCGTTGTGCCACCGACAAGTTCTCCTCAAATGCATTCATTTCAAATAGGCAAAAAGGACTACACTGTGGAGGGGACAAAGGTCATATACTCAAACTCGAAGATGAAATCCATGGGCATCTCCTATTCTCCAACGAATATTCATTCTAGAGGCGTCACCAGACTTCATCCAAGCTGATCAAGAGCAACTTCTGGAAGGCAAGGACTACATGCAAGATACTGAAGTCAAGTTCAAAAAGCCTTCCTCAGAAGTCAAGTTCAAAGACAAAGGAAGCTGAATAACAACAAAGACAAAGATATCTGCACTGCAATGCTGATTCAACACGATTGAACACCAAGGGGGAGATTGTTAGGAATATTTTATGGTGTCGAATCTAATTAAATATCTTTGTATTTGTGTAGTTATTAATTAAACGTGTAATACGGGCCACAAATGTGTATCAGCTCGTTAGCTTCCTTGTAACCCGTAAGTTAGCCAACTTCTCCTATAAAAGGAGGTTAACTTACGGGAACCCTAACTAACGAATCGAGACTTTGAGAGAACAGAGGCGTAGAGATAGAGAGAATAAGGTTCATACGGTTTACCAGATTCGGTTCATCTTCTCCATATCTTTCTATCTGCTTCTTCTTTATACCTGCTTTGAATGTTTGATTGTTAGTATTCTGGGTTTATCAATGTGAGGTGTCACCCAATCCGAAATTTCATTGTTGCGCTCTACTTCGGTTAAGGGCGCATAGCTCGGGCGGGCACGCGAGGTTGATTGTTCACTGCTCATCTAAAATAAATAATTAATAGGGACGAAGGGAGTATTAATTTACATTTTCAAATAATGGTGTAAGCATAATAGAAGATCAAATTTTGGTTGAAATTTTAAATAAGTTTTTGTATTTAAATTTTATAACATACAGTTTTATATAAAAACAATTTTATATAAAAAGAGTATTTTATAAAAATAGTTTTACATAGAAACAGTTTTTTATAAAAACAGTTTTCTAAAAAGAGTTTTCTAAAAACAGTTTTATAAAAACAGTTTTATATAAAAACAGTTTTTTATAAAAACAGTTTTTTATAAAAACAATTTTATATAAAAACAGTTTTATATAAAAACAGTTTTTTTGTATAAAATCAAATTTTGTATTTATTCATATGCCACTTTACTAAACTTTATACAAAATATTAATTTATACATTCTATAAAAACTGTTTTTATTAAAACAGTTAATAAAAAACAGTGTTTTTTAAAACAGTTAATTAAATGTTAAAACTGTTTTTTAAATGTTAAAACTCCTCAACTCCTTCAAGAAAATTTGATTGCATTCCGTACAATACCGCATGTTTATCATACATCCAAATTCTATTTTATCTATACATTATGCCTGAATATTATAATAAAAAAATTATACAGGTTAAAAACTCTAAATTACAAACATTACCAACATATGTGGAGTATTATTAATATATTAAATTTCACTAATTAAAGTTCAATGCAATTAATTCACTAGATGAACTAATATGTTCATATAATATCATTAATCATTTCAATTATTAACTAATAACCAATATTATGATTTCAACACTAAATACACTAAATTATTACGTTAATGGCATTAATTAATTCATAAACATTAACAATAATTTTTTATGTGTACGAACATTTATATATTAAATTTCACTAAAATTCCCTTAAAATTAACTAACGTCCAATGAATATTATTAAACTATAAGCATGCACAATACGTTAATGGCATTTAATCCACAATACTAAAATTATCAACATCTTAATCTTATTAATAATGCACATTTAAGAATTCACTAAATTTAATAATATGAGCAAATCCAATAATTTGAGCATATATATATAAACTCATTTAAATTAAATTATACTTAAATTTAACTAATATTATAAAATATTTAACTAATTTACGTAATTCACAATCATAATTCATCATACTTAAGTAATGTTTCAATTAACTAACCCTAATTTAAATCATTATAAATCCTAAATTCGGCATTAACAATAATTGCTAATAAAGAAATCCTATAATTATATTTAACCATATATAAACTCATTTGAATTAAATAATACTTACATTTAACTAATATCATCTATAATTTAACTAATTTACGTAATTTTCATTAAATACAACTTAATTAACCCTATGTTTAAATTACACCTGCGTTTAACTAATTTTAAGGAATTTATTTCGTTAATTAATTAACAACCTTTTTTAAATGCATTTAATTTAAATTTAACTAATATTAACAAAAGTTTAACTAATTTAACTAATTAATTAATTTAACTTAATGCGTCACTATGATTAAACCTACGTTTAAGTAACTAATTTTTCACTAAATTAAATGAAATTGACATATAATTCGTTACTTAATTAATAATCTCTCTAATTTAACAGTTTATTACACTTAAAATGAACACCCTAATTCATACAAAAAATACGTTATTCAAATTACATACCTTATCTGCATAAACAGGGAAAATGATATAAGATGGCTAGATTACATCCTTCAATTCTATCTGGAATTCAATCGGGAATAGTTTGTGTGGTTCTGTTCAATGAATCTGATGCTGCATATATAAAACATTTAGTCACGGACGTAGTCACGGACACATCCGTGACTACGTAATTTCGTACGATTTATCAGTACACTTTAACTTTGGAGCGTTGAAAAATTAATTTTGGATCTTGTCACGGAATTAGGCACGGAATTATCCGTGACTAAGTTCAGTCACAGAATTAGTCACAGATTCGTCTGTGACTAATTTCAAATTTAAAAAAAAAACCGCCGGAGGCAAAATTAGGTTGGCCGGAATAGGTTAGTCACGGATATAATCCGTGACTAACCGTAGTCACGGTCATATCCGTGACTATTTTTTTAAACAATCCGTGACTAAGCTAGCCCGTGACTAGAACTGTGACTAACTAGTCACAGACCAAATCCATGACTAGCGTCCGTGACTACAAGCGATTTTTTTTGTAGTGCCATCTCATCTCAAATTCAGCTGGTAGCAAATAACGACTCCACACAATACTATTCAACTCCTTCATAAAATTTGCATCATTACTCAAAACTGGTCCAACTTTCGAACTAACATTTTCCATAATATGCCACATGCAAAATCTGTGATAAGATGTTGTGAAGACCTGTAGAATAGCAATTTTCATGGATGGATCTTGATCTGTTATGATGCACGTTGGTTCCCGACCCATTGCATTCAAAAAAGAACGAAACAACCACACATATGATTCAACATCTTCTTTCAACAACAAACCCACACCAAAAGTAATGCACTTTTTGTGATTATCAACGCCAGTGAAAGAGGCAAAAACCATGTTATACCTGCATTTTGTGAATTAAAAACAAAATGAGCATGAAACATCATAAAAAAGTGCATGACGATTAATTGACAATGCATAAAATATATAATACTTGATTATAGATGGAATACCTGTTCGTCTCGTACGTAGCATCAAAAGAAACAACATCTCCGAATAACGCATAGTTCTTGATGCACAATGGATCCGCCCAAAATACATGTGTCAACTGGTCACTCTCTTCAACATCATAGTCAAATGAAAAACCTGAACAAATCTCTTTCTTTCTAAAAAAGCTTATCTATCAATATCTGAGCATTTACTCCAACTAGATAAGCCTTCAAATCACGTTTCAAATTCTTAAAATCCACTTATGTAGCACCAACAATATTGGCATAACCAGCAACAGTTTCCTTATACAATCGATAACATTTCATTGTGCCAATATTTGCTTTAGCACAATTCAAAAAAACTTTTGGTGGCCAATATCAAGTTTTCTATTAACTTTTAAAAATGACATCGATGAATTAGAAAACTTAAGGTGGTTATGCCTCTCCTAAAAAAGGTATTTTTGTATTGATTCATGCCTGCAAGCTTATAAACTGCACGTGCTTTGCAATCACACCTATTAGAAATCCTACGCCTTTTTTTCTCATCATCATTAACACATACGCCCGGACTTGGCAAATCTTCAACGTGAGTTTGGTCTTCATTTTCAGATCCATAAGAATCACATGAATCATTTTCAGTACTAAAATGATTATCTAAATCAAAATTCTTGAAGGACTCACTGGTAGATGTAACCGTCTTAGCTTTATTAACATTTTTGAAACCATGTCTTTTATACACCATGTGTTTCACTAGTACAAAAAAGACTTTTCACATCGGTCAATCAGCCGATGTGGTTCCAGCCCATGTGAAAAGTATTGAATTTTCACATCGGTCAATGAATCGATGTGAAAATTCTTTCTACATCGGTCGTTCAGTGCCCGATCTAGAAGATAGTACAAAATGATGCCCAACGAGTTCGTACTTCATCAATCTCTAAGAAATATGATGCCCAACGAGTTCGTACTTCATCAATCTCTTCTGATTAGAATGGTTCCGGATTGGTGAATCGCTACAAATAAAATAAGAAGGTTATTAAAAAACATTACATCACTACTAGAAAAACGACTTTTAACGACCACCCTATAACGATGACTCTCACAAATTGTCGTTAAAAGTGCTTTTTAACAATGATTAATAAGTTCGTCGTTATTAAGTTTATTATTAACGACTATTTATGAAAGGTCATCGTTATTAATCAATATGTAGTCATCGTTATTACTAATCATGTTTTCGAAAAACAAATTAGGAAAACAAAAAACCAATTCTTTAAGATTGTAATCGTAAATATTTAAATATGGCGGCCAAAATTTCTGAATCCCAATTATTTTCGCTCCAAAAGCCGGTTAGCTGGGCAAAACACACAAGGTTAAATGCCCTAATCTCGGTTCGCAGCCGCACTTCATATTATTTTTCCCTACGCTTCGTCTTCAATTCCACCGGATGCCAATCGATCTCTGTCGACCCAGAGCTAAAGTCTATCAGACTTGTCATCTCTGTCGCCGCGCGTATAGTAAGTTAATGGGAGCGGGGCGATTCTGGACTGGGAAGGCATGGGAGATGATCTATTTTGGGCCATCTGCGGCGGCGTAAGTTTCTGAGTGATACTGGCGTACGAAATTGAAAGAGAAGAACCAATACAATGTGTTCGGCGCTGAACCAAGCCAATGCTTTGTACGAGTTCATGACCCAATACGTTAGCTTCAGCTCTAAACAGGCGTACCTGAAGTACAAAGATATGGACATCGGCACCAACGAGAAGAACCAATCCAATGTGTTCGGCCCCATGTACTTCCGTAACAACTTACAGGGTTCTAATATTTACTATTCTAATTTTCTTGTCTTGATATGTTTAAATAACCTATATCGCTGATTTGATTGGTTGATTGTCTTGGGTGATTTGGTTAGGTTATTTGATTGGTTTTTGCTTCGTTGAATTGCTTGGTTTATTTGTTTCGTGTAATTGCTTGGCTGAATCGCTGATTCATCCTTCCTATCCTCACTCTATTTCTGAAAACGATGGAAAGCTGGAGGGAGTTTGGTCCAAATGAACCGCTGCCAAGGCCCCATATATCCTCACTGTTGTGCATACCATATTTGCAATCTGCTCTATATATCTCGAGTGAGAGCTAGCAATTAATGTCCCACCCTTAGCAATCACTTTGTGCAAGTGTTTGAGCTATGTGGCGGGCTTGATGGTTTTGTCAAAGCTAGATAGAGCAAAGTAGCTGTCCTAGAACCACATAGGTGACGACTGACTTCTCTGTTTCAGTTCTTTTCTCTTTGGTTTTTGTTTAATTTTAATTTTTTGAGTCCTCTATTTGTGAGAATGCTATGGGTGATTCAAATTTCGCTGCCCCTGTATTTATTTGTGGTAATACTACGGTTGATTCCATTTTTTACATGATTTGAATGAATGATCTCGAGAAATATGGGAATGAATGAATCTATAAGAGGTAGCTAATAGTTTGAGATATTCAAACTATTTTTTTAGAAATCTTTTCATTTTAGTCTGTGTTGCCTAAACATCATATCATAAATGTATACTAGTAAACTGGTAAACTTTTTTAGCATTATTGAAACCGGTAATGGTTAATTTTCTACTAATTGATAAGTTTTGTTTTGTTTGACAGTTTAACCATGATCAGCAAACACCCACATGAGTTCTTCGTTGTGTCAAATTTGACAATTCACTATTTTGCATTAAGGTATTTCATTCTATGAGTTCCATGCTTCTTTATTCTCAAACATAGATTGAGACTTTTCTACCCCACACAGAAGAGTTAACAAGTTTCAAAGGCCCATACCCCCTTTTTGTATTGTTATCTTTAGTCTAGAATTTCATCCATTTGCTAAAAAATATTTGACTGTAAATAAATAATGATATTTAGGATGTTTTTGTTTTGTTTTAACTCTGCCTACATTTCTTATCTTTAAAATCACCTTATTATTTGTATAAACTATGCATCACTTTACTTTAGCCTACATGTAGACTATGTAGTATTATATGCTTTACTATGCTAATAAGAGTGTATCTCTTGTTCTTACATACAAAAGGCTGTTACTAACTAGAAAAACTTATGTACATGTTCTGAATGTGTTTCTAATATCATGTAAATGTTCTGAATGTGTTTCTAGTATCATGGTCCTTTTTACCAACTATTGGTACTAACTACCTAGACAGCTATCATGGGAAATGGAACACCGTAGAAAAATAAAATAAACATAATATGAATAATGACTAGTTCTTATAGGTGCCAAAAGATAAAACAGAACTCATATTTTTTTACTTAGAACAACTTTATTATATATAATTTAAATACATAGCATAGGTCATTAGCTAACAAAAGATTAAATAGAACACATAATTGTTTTTACTTGAACTTACCTAATCTCGATACATCTTTCATACAACATAAGGTGTTATTCTGCAAAACTTTATCCAAATTATATGTTCAATATTCATCTCATGTCGGTGTGAGTTTGTTAAATGTTAGCATTAGAACAGACAAATAGAAACTCAATAAACTAAACTTGACAATAAATGCAATGACAAAAGAACTGACATAATTTGATTAAGAACATTACATAGAAATTTACCTTCCATCTAGGACAAGGGTTGGACGTAGGACAGTCACCATTGACTTAATGGTGGGACTGTCTAGCTATGTAAACATGAGCTAACATGTCCAAAGGTGAATCCAAATCTGATGGGTAAAAGACTTATGTGGTGTATGCTCTGGTGGCTAATGACAGTTAAATAGACTCAACGCCTTAAAGAATGACATACTAAAGATTTTAAAAAACTAATGCAGTGAGCTATATCTCCCCAGCTTATTCCAGAACCCCTACTTCTAAGTTCTAATAGGGGATGTTATGCTAATGGGCTAATGCTAATGGGTTAATGCACCGAACAGGGAGCAAGCCTTTTAGACAAATCATTTGGGATGATTTGTTAAGGAATTTCATATATTATGTTATTCTTTAAGAAATGTTATATTAAGTTCAATTATTCACAATTGAAACTTCTGTTTTTTGAAAGGTGCAAGTGAGGGGAATAATCCAAAGTCAGTTGATGTTTTCTATACATCCCGCAAGAAAGGTGATAAGCTTCCAAGTATAGAGAGATCAGAGAAATATGTAAGTTCACTTTTCTATGAGTTGTTCATTTCCTATACCCCATGTTGTACATTAGTGAAATTTAATCCTTTCAATCTACTGTTGCATATTGTTAAGTAGCTTCTTGTGAGCGTATTGTAATCGAGCTAGTCAACAAGGTGTGCTATTCCAGTTCCCTTCTTTTGGACCACTTTACTTGAAATCTTTCTTTATCCCTGCATAATATTATACCACTTAATCCTTATTTATTCGTTTCCACTTAATTCCAAGGGAAACAAATTGAAGATGCTTTGGACTGTGGCTTTATATCTGTGCAGGGTGAAATGCAATAGCTACGAGATAAGCTTGCAGTGGTAGAGCGCACTCCAAAGGCAGAAGCACAGCTAAAAGTGAGTATATTTTTTGTAAATTTATTATGATATTTTCATCTCCACTCTCTTCAGATCTTTGTTTTGAAAGCATCTTCATGTTACTACCAGGAGAAATATCAATTACGATTTAAAGTATTAGAAGAAAGACTTAAATTCATTCCTTCATCATTTATTACCTTGGTTATGGTCTATATTTTTGCAGGAAGAAATCCACGAGACAATAAAAAAGACCTTTCACTTTCTAATGTCGCGGTAACTTTTCTCACTTCTATATTTCTGCTCAGCATATTTATTTCACAGTCTACATTGGAACTATTGTTTTTGAGTGGTGCATTCAAAATTCATGTGGTGTTGTATTCTTCTCATATATAGGTAGCACAAAAAGTTTTAAGCCTCGGGATAAGGTTGTGTGTTCTGGAGGAGGAACAAATCGTGAGGAAATAATTGGGCAACAACCTAGCAGAGAAAAGCTTCAAGCTAAGTTGAGTGCTACTAAAAACAGAAACAATTTCTCGCCAATCACATGGAAACAATTCAAGAAGAAAAACATGGCATTTAAGGATCGTATGGGTTCTGCTCAAATGCATATCTTTCAAGAGATATTGATGAAACAACTTAATGTTTCCATCCCTTCTTAGAGTGGATCATAAGGTATGAATTACAAATGTTATTATTCTCATAGTTTTTAGATCTATTCATGGCTTACTGGGTTTGGAAAAGAATTTTTTAAGAACCATTTTGTTTCTCGTAACTATTTATCATTTTATTAGAAAAACTGAATTTTGTTTTTAATTTTTGCAGGTGTTTAAATATGAGAAGTTGGAGCAGTGCCGTCGAATGATTACTTTGTGGCTTAGGGTTCACGTTTATGTATAGTTCTTCAGATACATATGTTTGACAATTAAGTATGAGATTTTTTTGTTTTTGTTTATGAGGATGATTACTATTTTATGTCAACTTATTGTAATTGTTATATGTAAAATATTATTGATTTATTGATCGTAGAATTTATTAAAAACTTAGTTGTTATATGTTGTTGAATGTACAAGTATTGATTTTACACGGGGTTTGAAACTTTGTATGCAAGTTGGTTGTGGTTATGAAAACATTGTTGTTAGCTATATGTAATGATGCTAACAAATTGTATACGACAACGGAGAATTATGTTGTTAAAATGTAACGATGAGTGAATATTTTGTCGTTACTAAGTAACGAGAACAACTTGTGTCGTCGTTAATAAATAACGATGACATCTTGTGTCGTCGTTAATGAGTAACGATGACATCTTGTGTCATCGTTAATTTTTAACGACGAACTTTGTCGTTAAAACCAATAACGACGGGACTTGTAACGACCACTTGACGACAAAAAAAAGTCGTCGTTAAAAGCTATAACGACGAACTTTTGAGCTTATAACGACCATATTTTTCGTTGTTAAAAGTCCTTTTTCTAGTAGTGCATGGAGCAAACCTATTGAATGTAAATAAAACAATAATGTAGCTCATCCCACATTTCAAGAATTACCGCCGAAAATGGTTCTTAGAGACCTGCAAAAAATATACTACGTAAAATATATAAGCAAGTTTTAGAGAAAAAACAGAAAATTATACACCACACCTGCCTTCCAATAATATCACCACACACCTATCTCAAAGGGTGAAATAAACGGAGCATTTCATGTAATGTTATCACAACAAATAAACAAAATAATCAACAACACAAAATTCAAAATCTAACAATTCATATGAAGAAACAGTACTTACAGTGCAAATGATAATGTGCATATGAATGCTTAATCTGATTAAATTCATGCTCCATACAACATTTCCTAACTTTCCAATAAGTATGACTTGTAGTAAGTAAATACATTAATAAGTAATTATAACAAACCTGCAAACAAAAGTATCACTTTATTCCCTAACAAAACTGTAATTGTATGATGTTTAGGGAATCAATATACCAGGCATACTAGCTACAAATAACAAAAAAATCATAAATGGTTATTTTGAAAAATCCAATAAAGAGCACAAATTTCAAAATATAACAATAAAAATGAAGGATTACTTAGGATTACTTACTTACATTGCAAGTAACCAAACCAAAATCTCTTACTTTTAATCAGTCTCTTCCTTATGGTTGTGTCTGCTTTGTCCCTCTCTCACGTTGTTTCATCACATAATACACAGAGACCTTACCTGTTCGACTCATATCTGGAAATCGAAAAACAAAGAGATGTATGTTGAATGTTCTAATGTTCTCCTGTCACTCTGTCAGAGCTTACCTTAAGAAGCACAACTCTTAGAAGATTTCAGGTTCTGCATCAACCGCTTCCCTCTTATACTACTTAATCTGAAAAAACCAGACTTTGGCGTCCCGATTAAGCAGTTCCTAGTTCCTACCTTAAAGTTATTGATTCATGTTTATAATTGGATTTCATTTAGTAAATAAAATGTACATTTTTTCATATTATGTTTATAAAATTTACAAATTCAGATAATAGTATAATACATTAGAAGTTTTATAAAGTCGCAAAAGACAAACTTAATTTTGATAAAAATTGGATATATAAAGTAAAAGACCAAGAAGAATTTATGTTGACTAGAGAATAGTGGACAGAAAGTTTTGCAAATTATACGCTACACATTAAGATCTCGTTTGGTGACCCTATTTTTCGGTTTATCAGGCTTATTAGACAACTTTTTTGCCAAACACATAATTTTTGGTTTCAGACGTTGAATTGTTTAATAATAAGAAAACGTAAGGTTATAATTACTTTTCTGCCTGTATTTGCTGAAGTTATTGTAACGGATCATTTTAGCTATTTTTTCACGTAATTATAATTTTTTCTTTATTTGGCATATATCTATAAATAAAAATGAACCCTTATAAAGTCATCTACTGTAATCCTACAAACACGTAGTGTTCAAAAGAAATGGCATAAAGCTGGACTAAAATCTTACTATATACAAACTGTTGTGGAAAAAATGTACAGTGTTCTCGCCAAAAAACATCCCATCAACGGGCCGGGTCGGGTCTTCAACAGGTCGGGTCGGGTCTTGAAAGCATTGTTGACTGATCTGACTTCTTTGGTCATATATTGATGGTTGATATGACATTTCTGTGGCTCAATAAAGTGTTAAGTTCACCGCTTCATAAGAGCATTAAGTGCTGGGAGGTTGGGATGTGAGCATTAAATGGAAATCGCAGAGCTGTCTACACAACATTAAATGAAGTGTACTTTCATATTTAAAATTCAAATTGCATTTGAAAAAGCATTAAATAGGGTGTACTTTAATATCTTTAGCAATGAGAGCACATCAAAAATGTTGTGCGACAAAAAATAGCATTTAATGCAAACCATAGCATCCTAAAATCCATTGGTTATAAGTTTATAACATAATGGTTACAACTGAAGATTGCAGTATAAATACAACTGAATTTCAATAGCATCAACAGGTAATCAACAGGCTATTGCACTCGGAGAGAGGGTTGAAGAGGCCATTAAGGTTCCTTTGGATTCTGAAGTTGGGAAGAGCTAAAAAATTCCATTAGAGGTATATCATTCCCCTCTTACAACTCTTTTAAAAGAAGAATATATTCCATGTCTATGTTGTTGTTTACATCCAAGGGCTTAGGCTAACATTCATGACGGTGATGAAGTATATATGCATCAACAGGTAATCAATGACAAGCTACCAATAAGTAAAGAGATGTTGAATAGGTATGTATGAACCTTATAATATATCTTTGTTAATTTGATGCTTATAATTGTTCACTTCTTCTAATTAGTGATTTGCTATTATTTTTGCAGGTATCCTATTTCAAATAGAATCTGGGAAAACCTAAGAATGCTACAATCAGCCTTCTGTATACAAACACGTAGTACTAGGATAAAACAGAGAGTACTATAAAATAAGACACGTGTGTTCATTGGTTCATACAAAAAATGTGCAAGATTTATTTTTTATCCATAGTGGTTTTCGGTTTGAATACGTTAATACGTTATCTGCTTTGACAAAAAAATCAGCCCATCATCGTAACATATATCCGAAGTGTATCAGCATATGTATATTATCAAAATTGCTATTTGTACATGATAAAGTGTACACACCATTATATTTTACACGTCGATCAAATTGTCCGTGTACAACGGCGTTTTGGGTTTCCCCTCGAGAAGTGGGCCCCGAATCCGATCCGGAAGAAGATGGTCGAGAAGACATGATGTACCGAACGCGAAGTGAAAGAAACAGAAGGGAGGGGTAGAAAGTACCTGAACACTCGAAAAATTGCTGAGTCCTAGAGAGAAGGCAGAGCGAAAGCACGAAGCAAATGAGAATTCGAAACCCATAACCAAGGAACTAAGGCCTACTTATAGCCTGACAAGCGCCGATTCACTGACCAACCAGAGGGCGACACGTCACCAGGAGCGTTGGAAAAGACACGTGTCGCGTGGGAGAGCAAAGGCTAGTAGTCATGGCAATTATGGAAAAAATCAAACGACAGGCACAATAAGATACTAAATCATGACATAGGGAACCAACGAGATCTGGACCTTGATCGACACTCGACATACAAGTTCTACTTCCTTATGCACTCACTGTCATTCGAGACATCGGAAGTGGGGAACTCGTGTTGCGATATTGGACCGAAGGCCCAATACTCGGACCAAAGGCCCAAAATATCCAGTCCAATAAATAACCCGGAATCCAGACAGAGAACAGGCCCAATTAAATATATGCCCCGAACGGGGATCGAGTCAACCATGATACTTGGGCCAGATCAATGATGTTTTCAGCATGACCCATCACCTTGTTCGGGCAACGGATAGCTGGCAAGTGGCAAGAAGCATTTATTGCTACAGAGTGACCTCAGCAAGTGGGAGTATGAACATTCAAGTGGTTGTATTAGCGACCAATCAGCATGAAGCACCTCATACCCCCATTAGTATATATATAGAGGGATTAATTTAATTTCAAAGAGTTAGCATTTTGATACTCAAGGCCTATAATAGCTTTATTACTCTTGTTCTTGTATTAATCACTATTCCGACATACCGTTCGGGAAGTTTCCTGTGTAATCAGCGAATTGTTTAAATACAAGTGGGCTTTGAGCATATTATTACTCAGCTTTTATATTTTGTTATACCCTCGATTTATTACCCACATCCTGAAATATTCAAAGCGTGTGTTGGGCTTTCGGATCTACGGGACTCAACCTCAACAATGATAAAAAAAAATTCTTCATCAAAATTATGACTTATTTAGTCTCATTAAAAGAATAAAAACTACACTCAATAGGAATCCTATTTTGGGGGAAACAATGTAACACCCATTTAATTTAAAAAAAAGTAATATTTTACACAATTTTAAATTCTGTTAAATAAATTTCAAATTCTACTGGGATCGAACAACTAATGTGAAAGGGGTGGACTAATTGGAAGTAGAGTTTCCATATTTTCAACGATCAAAAAACTCTTCCTCGTGTGTGGAAAGTGCATCCGCCCCCTTCCCCGCTGGCTACAAAAACAGTCAATTGAGTATCTAACACATCAAAATCAATCATTTCCCGCCTGCAAAATATGTTTAAACATGGTACTAGTATAAAATAAGACACGTGTGTTCATTAGTTCATACAAAAAATGTGCAAGATTTTTTTTTATCCATAGTGGTTTTCGGTTTGAATACGTTAATACGTTATTTGACAAAAAAATCAGCCCATCATCGTAACATATATCCGAAGTGTATCAGCAAATGTATATTATGAAAATTGCTATTTGTACACGATAAAGTCTACACACAATTATATTTTACATGCCGATCAAATTGTCTGTGTATAGACAATTTGATCGATCTTTTGTCAAAAGAACTGATTTTCACATAGATAAAAAATTAGTTTGTCTGTATCACAGACATAAAACATTGTCTGTTGCACATTCAATTTTTTTTGTTTGTGCGTAAACTGATTTTGATCACAAAACACCGGTCAAAAAGTATGTATACATAGGGGTGGGATCAGTCCGGTTTAGATCCGTTTTTTTGCTAAACCCGAAAATTACCCGCAAGGTTTCAGATTATGAAAATTAGGGACCTGAACAAAGTTCATTATATTCGATCTGAGTCAGGTTTTGGGAAGCTCAGGTTCGGTCCGGATTCGTGTTGGACAGGTTAAAGCCCAAACATGAAATCATTTCATTATCCTTTTATATTTTAAAAAAATCAAATAAAACTTCTGAATAGTAATGCCCTCCGTGACCTAGTTCTCTCGCAAAGCTGCGTGGCCTAGCGCTCTCTCTCTGCGCCACCTTAATCCCTTAGCTCTTTTCATCGTGATAGAGACATGCGTCGATTCGCAGTTCTGTGATAACACTCAGAGTAGCATAGAATTGGTTTTCTCACTAGCTTTCGTGTAGGGTTTTTCTTTCCGGCAGGCGGCTTGCATCGTTTCTTATCCGGTGAATGGTTTGGAGCGACAGTGGGAGGGCGATTGTTACACGCTCTGCCTCTTCATGGTCTGCTTCTCCATGGTTGATGTTTCTGAATGTGCTGTTATGGATCAAATCTAGAGGTCTGTGATTGATGCCTATGATTGGAAAATCATCTGGCAATTTCTGGATTGAGTTTTGAGCAAGGGAGAAGACAGATCGGCGGACCGCACCCCTCCTGAACCGCCATCCTGGAGCGACCGATGTGCAAAGGATTGGAAGATGATATTTCAAGAATCCTGACAGGAAGGAGCTTGGAGCATTTGTCAATTATTTTATTTCTCACAGTCTTACTTTCGTATTAAGTTTGTTTATTTTGTTCTGTTTTTTGATGATGTCTTTAGTTTTAGGTCTATAATAAGGATTGGCAATTCGTCTAGATATTATACCGGTAATTAGAAGGATCTATATGAGCATTGATAGATGTGTCACACTCGTTTGGTGGTTAGTGATTCATATTGCTCTTTCAGGGGTGATCGTTTCTATGTCTAGCCGTAGGATTGATAGTGCTAGTTGGTTATGGATAGTTGTTGTCGGTGTTGGTCTCTTTGAGTTTGTTGTAACGATCCGAATCATAATGATATTATTATGAGCAGTTTTTCCTTTAAAATAAAACCTAGTTTCAAATAAAATTAATTAGAAATCCAAACTACAAATAATAACACAATTCAAATCCAAATGAATAATATAGGTTTTTTAAAAATATTATGAAATAAAACTCATGGATAAAAATGTGACTAAAGTTACTTTAAATATATTTTCATGGTCATTACGGTAAACAAATTGAACATATTTGTAGCCATTAAAAGTTACTTAGTCATATTTTCATCAACCATGACTATAATCATATGTTAGGAATTGGAATTATTTATAAATTATATCCTTATATTATATTGATTTTATATTAAAACCCATTATTTCGGGTTTTTATCGTTCCGGACCGGGTTATAAATTTTAGGACCCATTAATGAGCCCGAATTTTCGGGTTTGGTCCGGTTGTTTTATACGATCCGATTAAAAAACCCAGACCGGAATCATAATTCGGATCGGACCAGGATCGGTTTATGGATTTCGGTTCGATTAATCTCACTTCTATGTATACAAAGAATGGCGTGTACACGAAGCATCTCATAGATGTTTGTGTTGTCAAATTGTCATTATATAAATAAATCGTTAAATTTACATGGAAGTCAATGAAAAGCACACACGT